GACACTCTTGTGGGACACTCTTGTGGGACACTCTTGTAGGACACTCTTGTAGGACACTCTTGCGGGTCACCCTTGTAGGAAACTCTTATGGAACACTCTTACAGGACACTCTTGGGACACTCTTATGGGACACTCTTGTAGGACACTCTCGTGGGACACTGTCATAGGACGCTCTTGTGGGTCACTCTTATGGGACACTCTTGTCGGACACTCTTGTAGGACACTCTTGTGGGACATTGTTATAGGACACTCTTGTGGGTCACTTTTATGGGACACTCTTGTCGGACACTCTTGTGGGACACTCTTGTGAGACACTCTTGTACGACACTCTTGTGGGTCACTTGCAGTGCAGGACACTCTTGCGAGACACTCTTGCGGGACACTCTTGTAGGAAACTCTTGTGGAACACTCTTGTAGGACACTCTTGTGGGACACTCTTATGGGACACTCTTGTGAGACACTCTTGTAGAACACTCTTGTGGGACACTCTTGTAGGACACTCTTGTGGGACACTCCTGTGGGACACTCCTGTGGGACACTCTTGTAGGAAGCTCTTGTGGGATACTCTTGTAGGACACTCTTAAGGGACGCTCTTGTGAGACACTCTTGTGGGACACTGTTGTGGGACACTCTCGTGGGACACTCTTGTGGGACACTCTTGTGGGACACTCTTGTAGGACACTCTTGTGGGACACTCTTGTAGGACACTCTTGTGGGACACTCTTGTGGGACACTCTTGTAGGAAACTCTTGTGGGATACTTTTGTAGGACACTCTTGCGGACACTCTTGTAGGACACTCTTGCGGGACACTCGTATAAGGGGCACTCTTGTGAGACACTCTTGTGGGACACGGGTGTGGGACACTCTTGTGGGACACTCTATCTATCTGGGACACTCTTGTAGGACACACGCTTCGAGGCTGCAAGACGAGCGTTTCGTACGAGACTTCCTCCAAAAGTCACATGTCAAGTCTCCAAAACGAGCGTTTCGTACGAGACTTCCTCACAAACTCACATGTCAAAGTCTGCAAAACGAGCGTTTCGTACGAGACTTCCTCCAAAAGTCAAGTGGAAACACCCATCGGAGCACACGCATCACGCATCCCTGCCAAGCAGTTTTGCGATCCCCTCCAAACAACACCCGCTCACACGCCAATCCCAATGTGACAGCGACATTCACCTCTACCACAACTCACAACCTCATGATTCCCTGCGCCTACCACGAATCTTTCCGCGTCCACACGTCTGACACGCACAAAGTACTGCGCCTGCCACGAAATGTCACCTCTGTCACACCTCGCAACCTCACGATTCCCTGCGCCTGCCACGAAAATCGCACTTCCACACCTCAAAACCCGCACAAAGTACTGCGCCTGCCACGAAAAGTGACAATATCATCTCATGTGAGCTTCAACAAAATTTGCACCACACCACACGTTTGGAATGATTTCGGTCCGTTCTGAGCACACTCCCATCCACCAAAATCGCCATTTCAGCTGAGACTTGTCATGAAGACAGAGCTTCGATGCCACACCCTGAAACACAAATCCCAATGGCATGGCCACATCCAACACCCCAAAAACACGACTCTCCAAACGCTAATCCCAATGGAACTGCGCAGCAAACTGCGGATCTCACAAAACGCTGCGCCTGCGCAGTGAAATCATCCTCCACACTGGGCAATATCAATCCGGCGCTCCTAGGAAAAGTTCACAATCACTTGCTGCAAGTGATTGAGACCGAGAAGAGAACTGTGGATGAGGTGAAGCTTGTGGAGAACTTGAACCAGATCCATCTCCGGACGAGGCGACTGGTGTCCTTCAGCGCGATCTCAGATTGGGTCACACGACGAATGGCCAACTTCAAAGGTGGCAAGCGCAAGCAGTCAGAAGGCGCCAAGGCCAAGTTCTGGTCTTTGCAAGAGCCCGGCTCGGAAGCATCAGTTTCGGAAGCTGCGCCTGGTGTGCCTGAGCCGAACGGTTGCGAACGGTTGCGGATGGTTGCGAACATAGAAACAACGTGTCGCGAACAACAGACCCCCAGAGTTAAACGAGAACCCTTCGCTACGCATTCGGGAAAAAAAGCACACAGTTAGGGAAAGAGCCAAGGCACATGGTCTTCACTGCCACAGGCGTGTGTCGCCACATAGCCCGGCAAACGCAGCCATATGTTCCCTCTCCAAGAACTGCTCCCAGCTCCAGCTCCTCATCGTCCTTTGGCAGCCGGTGTGGTGCCGTAAAGAGCATCAAGGCCTTCTGAAGTAAGAACTTCTGCGAAATCGCTCGAGAGTCAGGCTCAGGCACACCAGGCGCAACTTCCGAAACTGATGCTTCCGAGCCGGGCTCTTGCAAAGACCAGAACTTGGCCTTGGCGCCTTCTGACTGCTTGCGCTTGCCGCCTTTGAAGTTGGCCATTCGTCGTGTGACCCAATCTGAGATCGCGCTGAAGGACACCAGTCGCCTTGTCCGGAGATGGATCTGGTTCAAGTTCTCCACAAGCTTCACCTCATCCACCGTCCTCTTCTCGGTCTCAATCACTTGCAGCAAGTGATTGTGAACTTTCCCTAGGAGCGCAGGATCCTTGTTTTTCAATGATATTGCCCAGTCATTGCTATAACGGTCCCGCAGGGCTGGCGTTGCCGCAATCTGCTGTCTAGAAGTTGTTGTCTAATGTCTTGCTAAGTTGTTGTCTAATGTCTGGTTGGTGTCTCTTGTCGATCCAAATGATCAAGTTGGTGGGACTCCCAGCCCTCTTTTGATCCTGAAGACATGAGGTGAGAAGATCTGAGTTCGTTAGTGGTCAGCTTCATTCAACTTCAGGAACTCTACCAGACAAGCTCCAAACAGCACTCCACTGAGCCAAAAATGCAAATGCAAAGTAGCACGCTCATACGACAAACACGAATCCCCAAGTCTTCTCCACCCTCTGGCCTCCAAAATCCCCGCTTCCGCTTGACGGAACTGAGAAAAACAGCTCTGGCGGAAATCCTAAATCTGCGATGCATCGACAACACAACAGTATTACCTAGTGGGGCATGGCCAAAGGTACCCTGTCTATTCCTGTAGACAAAGTGTTCATAAAGGACGGCCATGATCCGGAATCTCAGACACAAACCCCAAACGTTCTTGAGCAGGGCCATGGAAGAACACCAGAAGGAAGCCACCTGTGCCCTGCTTCGGAATTTCCAGCGCTGCATCTGAGGCCGCCACAAACCGAGGGCGCTCACGAGGGATGATATCAATCTCCCGTGCTGGGTGCATATCAAAGACGGCGTCCAGAATTGCAAAACAATGCTCTATAGCTCAGGGGTAAGTATCCGGTCCTTTGACAACTGACGCTGTTTGATGGCGCCCAAACCACTACAGCCAATGCGCGTGTACATGCCCTGTTCCAAGAAGTTTGCCAGCCTCTTGTCCGGGGCCAACGGTGTGCCGAGCAACTCATTGAGGGTTTTAAATGCCCATTGGGCGGAACCTTGGCTGGAGCGCCAGTCTGTCAGTGAGGCATCATCAAAATATAGACTCACCAAGGCGCCACAAAGACGCCGCCCCAGGGCTTCAACCAACCGAGAATATCGATTGAAGGATGTCACCGCTAGAGGGAGACCAAAAAAAAGACCTGCATAAACTTGAAACGCCGGTTCTTGCCACACATGGTGGTAAAACATCACCATACAGCCAAGTGTATCGCTCTCTCGCATGGGTGAGCCACCTGTCTCCCAGGCGTCTGTCTGAGCTGCCTCTTGCTGTTGTGTCACCGTCATGGTGGCCAAGGTTGCCTGTATGCGCTGTGCTGGCCGCAGGGGCGAACAAAGAACCAACTTGTTGAAGTCAGCAGAGTACATAGTTTGTCCTCCCTGGTCGGCACTGTCGATGATGCGCTGCTTCCCTGAGCTTTGAGTGATCACACAGCGAGGTATCAATCGATGCGGTGCGTCCTTGATCAACGCCAGCAGGTCACTCCTGCGCATGGGCGGGGTGCTGAAACTCCTCTCGGCATTTTTGCACGATTGTTCCAACAAGAAGGCATCGTCCTTGCCAACGCCAGCAGGTCACTCCTGCCATGATTGTTCCAACAAGAAGGCATCGTCCTTGCTAGGTTTGAGGGTTTTGCGCAATGCCGCATTGTGCGTCTGCCAGTCTGTGAAGACTTGCTCCAGCGAGATGGGCTCTACCTCCTGCTGCGGAAAAACATCACATGGCCAAGATGTGGCCACAGCTGGCAACCCATACACCAAAATGTGAGGGTATTGCACGTCCGGCCAGGACACAAGCATCAACAATAATGTAGTGAAGCCCAGATCACGGTGTTGTGTGGTAGCTCTCAAGGCGGCTGGTTGAGCTCGCTTGACTGCTTGGTTGCGCCAACTGCGCATTCATGGTCCCGGTATGTCCCGGTCAAGGCTGCTGCAAACTGCAGGTCCAAATCCAGGACTGGGGGCTGGAGCGGAGACTGTCCGACTGCTAGCGCGGCTTGGAAATGCTGATCTGGGTCCAACCCATAGGACAGCAGCGGGGCTTGGGCCGCAGAGCTGCCCGGAACCACGACCGTACCCCGGCGTGTCCAGGTTCCAATCCAAGGGAAGACAAAGCCGCCCCGAAAACTCATGCAACGGGGCACGCTGACGTGGAACAGGCCTGTTGACGTAGGGGCGGAAATTCTGTGGGCCCGCCAAACACCCTTGGCGCGGGAGGGTAGTGCTCGAACACCACGACACTCTGCCACAGAATAACGCTTGAACACGGTCCCCCCGGTCCAAGCGGTCCTGCACTGCTTGGCGGAACTCGGCATAGGCAGCGGCGGAAAGGAGCTGCGCCTCAGTATGAACTGCCACATCAATGCCAGGGCGCCAAGACATGATAGACGTGTGTCCCTCACACGGCAGTGGTGTGTCCTCACACCTTGCTTGAACCAATGAACAGAAACTCCCCTGTCCACTTTTGGCTCTTGAGCCAAAACATGACATGGGAGTTATGATGATGTTTGTGCACCCCAGCCTGCCCAAGCTCTACACAAGTATATTCTCCACTTGACGATGGGTGTGTGTATATATATATATATTGTGTGTGTGCGGTTCTGTGGGAATGGTGTTCATTTATATTGTTCATCTCCACTTCCAGCCGGAAGGTTTTTCGTGACTGGCGAGCCAGCGAACTTGTGCCGATGACTCAATGGGCTGTATCAGAAATGCCGGACCCATCTGAAAGCACTGGGTCAGTCAATGTCAATGAAAACAGAAAGACCCCAGGCCTTTCCCCCCTGAGGCCCTGGGAGAAGTCAACATCATCCTGTTGATGTGCAATTCAATTAAGAATTCTTGTGCTAACACCAAACTCAGTGATTTCAGAATAACATTTGCCCTTTACATAATCACTCGCTTCATGTACAGCAATGCAGCTCTATATATGTGATATCTATTTTTTGATAATTATATATGTATATATATATATTATAATATATAATCTCTTCCGATTGAACCCACTCTTCTTCACCAGAAGTCCTGCCAATCTCCTGCGACTCTGAGTTCCCCCACATCACCGCCAAACGCCGAGTGATCACCGGCTGATCCACCAAGCCACAGCCTGCATTTCCGGCACGCCACAAAGAAGGCCGCCCAAACTGGGATGGTGTAACTTGGGACCATCCTGGGCACCCTTCAGTAGATCTTAAGGGCAGTGACATACCCCAAACGGTCCCCCCCGAGCGGGTTATATGTCCATCCAGTGCACAGAATCGAGCGACCGGATTGGAGCAGGCTTTTCAATGCAGCAGGCTTTTCGTGGTTCGGAAGAATCTTGGAAAGCAAACATCGTTTGGCTGGTTTCAAGTTTCAACTCACTTGAAAACTATTACTGTAGTCAGCGGGGAGAAAAATATCCCAAGTACAGGTTGAACATAAAAACCTCTGAAACCACCGAGAAAGTGCCAGCAAACCGGTGGACTCCGATTGTTTCTTTGGCGAGCGCCGAACAAATCAAAGATCGACGGTATTTTTCGGCCGCAACCAAATGCGGCCAGGCCAAACAGTGGCATACTGGTCTGCTACATCTCGAGGTCCCGCTCGTGGTGAGGGTCTGCTGAGTTCACCATGTTTTTTCTTTCGATCACAACATCCATTGCTCCAAAGATGGGAAGTGTTTTGTGGGGTGTGTTTTGCATGTTGGGTGTTTTCCTTTTGTATGGAAGCCCGTGTCACATTAATCAAGAATAGCTGACACGACTTGACCCTCATCTCTATGACTTGGCTTATCCTTTTTTTTGTAGACTTCGTATGCACGCCAAATCGAGAGCTGTCCCAAACCATCCACGTGACTGGAGGATTTACAAAATGAGTTGCAGTAGAACCCGTTTCATCCTCCCGTTTCAGAGTAGATGGCACAATCCCCAAGTTAGGTGGTGGTCTTTGCAGACCCCCATCTGGCCCCAGACCTCTTCGGGTGCCAATGCCATCTACTCACGGTAACGCACTCTGAAGCGTATAGTGGAATGAGAGGACCAATGGCACAGACCCCAATGTCGGTGGTTTATGTGGACCCCCATCTGTCTAGGACATCTTGGGGTCTGTGCCATCGAGACTCTGAAACATTCAGCAGCTGGGGCAGCTGTCGCAGCTAGTGGGGACCACCGAGACTTCTCCGCAGCTCGACAGCGGACCACCGGACACGTCGCGGTCCCAGTCCACGGCGCCTAGGAGGAGATCACTGGAGGCCTAGGAGCACCAAGCAGTGAGACCAATGTGTACGACCGAGTCATGGTGGTTTGTGATGTGTTTTTGGGGGCACATGGGAAAAAAGAAGCAAGTGAAGCCATTGCAGGTGAAAAGCAGGTTAAGAACATGTCATTGTTGCTGTGCCTTGCTTCGAACAGGGCAGAGTGGTCGGTGCCTGAATCGCATCATCCTCTTGCATGTGGAGCACGCGATGAGTGGCCTCCGATGTGCAGCTTTAGCACGAGTATCGCCCAAAGAATCCCTATCTTAATTCATGTCTTCTTCTGGAAACCCAGTCCCGACCAGAACGAAATGGAAAAGCCACTGTTTCAGTCTCAGCCACTGTTTCTGCTTGGGATTTGGGCTTCCAGGCCTACACCTGAATTCCATGGGTTCATTCTGCAAGCGAGTCAAAAACCACCGATCAGAAACAAGCAACAAGTGGAAAATGGTCCCGAAAGGAAGTCTACTTTCTCTCATGCCATGGACCCGTCCATGTGACCATGTGATGCGTTCGTCGGAGTGTACACAGCCTCTGTTTTGCACGGTTTGACTTCTCTCTGACTCTCTTCGCTGCAAAGAACGCATTGCCTTGTAGTGCACCAGCAGCGAGGCAAAGGCACCCCCAGCGGCCGCGCGCAAGGGGGCAGAGCTCAACCAGCTGGTGGTGGCCTGAACAGGGGGCTTGAAGCAAATGGAATAGCTACAGTGGTTTCAGAGAAGGTGGCACAATCCCCACAGGTGGTTTGTTCATATCGCACATTATCGCACCATAATTACATACATTTGGAAACGTTTAGGCCATCAATGGGGCAAATCAACGATTCCGTGGCTGGATGGCTTGGGTTTGAAGGGAGGGGGATCTTCAGGTTTCCTTCGTGGTCACCGGAATTCACCACACTTGCCAACGTGCCTTGTTCAAAGCTTTGCGCTTCAGCAAGAGCTATTCTCATCTATTCTCCACCCATGGCAAAATCCATGGGAGGACTTGGATATCGTTTTGTAATACTATATATATGTAGATACCATATAATATAAATCGGTGATTCACCCCCTTGGGGTATAATTTGGAGGGCATAGACATGTTTGCAATGTTTACAAAATTACCCCCAAGGTCAAACATAAGCATTTTGAGCATGCTTTGACTGCTGCTTTGCGCGCGTTTTCCATGATCATCCATCGTCTTTTGTTTCTGAATTTGTTTCCATGTTTCACTGTTGAATGGTATTCAGGAGTGCCACTATAAAACATGTTATAGAGAGGTAGCCCCCCTGCATTTTCTAGAGGAAAATGCACCGGGGATTCCACTAGTATGAAGCTCCCTTGGAGGCACCCACACGTTGGACATTCATCAAGATTTCAGTCTTGGATGTGTTAAAACTTTCACGCGCAATCGAGACATCGCTCCAGGCTAAGACACATGCTAGCCCAGACATGAGACTTAGACCGCATGTCCACCGAGGGCCGTCGGGCCTTGACCAACCTGGGCGTGGCTTGGAATCGATGGCCGTGTGGATCAATATCCCAAACGAACCTGAATGAGACTCAACACCTGAGCACAATGTTGTATTATGTTGTTGTTGTGTTTAATCGTCCTATAATTAAATAACCACAATATATCACAATTGATCAAGTCTGACTTGTGGGCTGGCCAGGTGGCTCTGCTGGGCTGGGTCCCAGCAGATCGTAGGAAGCGTTGCTTCGGAACAGTTCAGAACAACTCATAACCCGTGACTCCAGGCAACTCCCTGACTTCCTGACTGCTTGGTTGGGTCTCCATCGAATCCTCCCTGTGACTCGGTGGAATTCAGTCTCTGTGAACAAACTCACCCGTCCATGCACGCGAGCCATGCGAGCGTGCACGAGGTTCCGTGTAGGTTCAACAGGGAGACCTCGGTTTTGCACCGACTCCCTGGAGTACCGGGGAAAAAAGACCAAAGCATCCAAGCAACCATTATCGGTTTATTCCAGCACCCCCAAGGGGTGGTTAGTTCACACCCTGAATCACAGCTCAGGGGCTATTTACATAGACACCCCTTGGAGGGTCCTGGTTAGGGTCCCCCATTCAAATACACACCTAACAGATGGATGTGCTTCACACCCAACAGCGTCCCCACCACAGAACCGCGGCGAAAGGCAACGCGAACGCGAAACGAACACGCGCATGGGACGGGAAACAGCTCATTCACGCGCTTGAGCTCATCATGCTTTGCATGCTGTTGCAAGGGCAGGTCCTCCAATGGCAGCCCCAGGAAGACGAG